GAAGTGAATGTATGAGTTAATAGATGACTTGCCCATCTGACAAGCTATAAGCACAGCTCTGTCCTATAGCCTGGGGAGGGGCTGGAATATGAGGTTTCAGCCCCTTTATGACGAATGGCATATGCAAACATCACTGTTGCCATTCTCAATTCCTTGTTCATGATAGGCATCACTAACTAACCTATGTACATTGTTCTATCATTGTTCCTCAGAATCCTCAACTCAGCATACTGCCAGGGGGCTGGAATCAGAAAATTGGAAGTGGAAACTTGCTTGATAACATTGTGCTAGATGGAAATAAGGCCAGCTGGGTTTACTACAGTTGAGACATCATTGTGGACTGTTGTTTGGTCCCAAGAGATAAGGATGGCAAGCACTCATCCTAGTTTTCAAAATGTACCATCAGTCCAGTGAGTGCTCCTCTCTGAACTGTGGAACCTGCCAGAGGCTGGGTGGCCAGGGAGGGATCATGTTCATAAAGACAGAGCGAGTGAACAGACTTGCCTGGACTCTCCTTGTGAAGTCTAAATCAACCATGTCATTTCCAGGTGTTAACCAGTGTGGGAAGGGACACAGTGGTTAAACCAAGGACTATGTGTCCTGGAGAATAAACAGAACCTGTAGGGGAACAGGGATCAGGGAGATGGAGACTAGATACCCACAGCCTACAGCATTTTAGGACACCAAACATTATTCCAGGAAGCCCAACCAGTATGGAGTGGCCACCAGGAAGTTACTTGTGACAGAAATTGTTTGGTAACCAAAAATAACCTATGAAGGAATGAGATTCTGGTCCTGAGGAGGGCAAACAGAGGAAGGGTGGTGGCCATCCAAGCTACAAGAGAAGAATCAAGGGTCGGATGGAAACTAGATTCTGCAGGGAGGTGCACTAGGTAATGAATAGGCACACCCAAGGAGGAAGGATAGTTCACACACACACACACACACACACACACACACACACACACACACACACACAAAGCCATCCTGGGAGGGGGAAAGGAAGAGGGAACCCCAGTCTGTGCCTCTGGATGGAGTGACGAGTTCCACAGCTACTCAGACACAGCCACGTGGGCTTCGGTCCTTGACAAGTCCAGGACGTGAAGGTGCCAGGTCCTACTTGGTAGTGCCAGCTGATAGTGAATTTCCTATTTCAATAGGTTGTTGGCAGGTCTTGGTGCCTGAGCTTGCCAGAACCAACACTTAGTTTTTTGCTACTGCCATGAGGGAAGAAGGAGTCTGGCTGCCCTCCAGGCCCATTTTTTTCTGCTATTGACTCTGGGTCTGGGGTAAACTGGGAAGGGGCCTGGGTGGAAAATCCCTGTTGGGAAGGGATCCTAGCTGTAACTTAGGAGACTTGGGGTCCACCCCACTCTTTGGAATGCTCAGTGGTTTAAATCTGCAGGATTGTTAGGACAAGAGGGAAACAATAGTTGTGAGAATCTTTACAGGTTCTGGCATCAGGGGAGGCCTGGGGCCATTGACACCTCCAGGGTGACTTGCAGTGATGAGAGGAATCCCACAGACCATGCATCAAACACCTTCGGTTTAGTGCCTTCTGAAAGAATGTCTTGCATTTTTCACCAATTGCAAAAATTGTAATTCTTGGAATATTGTCTTGTTTTTTAACAGTAGAATTGTGGAAATTATCACAATGCCTCTGCTATTTAGGACCCGCCATTGTCACTTTAAAAAGGCATATGAACAAGCTCTTTACTTGACAGAAATTTTATATCTTCTTTTCTTCTTGAACTCCCATTTCTAGTCCACTTCCCCCACGGGGTTTTATCCTAATGTAATATATTTTTTATGCTTGAAAGTCTTTTATTGATCACTGTTTCACACTCATCTACCACAACAAGAGGTACATAAATTGAAATAGAAATTTCTGGAGGAGAAAAAAATTTCCTGGGATCATAAAGCTCTACACTTTAAAACCTTTTAATTTCTCCCCCAGATTGAGTTGTGATTAGCATGCAAATTGTCAAAAACAAATTTAGATAAATAGTGAGTATAAAAATAAAAAATTATCAAAAGCACACTTCATGATAAAATGGATAAGGCTTTCTTTCTTTCTCAATCGGCTCATCTATCTGTGAATTACTATTTCTTACTGCTAGAATGAGACAGGACTTGCCTTCGTTTCATGGTGATTTCCAGTGTTTGTAGGGAAGGTTGCTTGGAGGGCTGGAGTGTGGGACCAGGAAGCAGAGACCATGGGCTTTGTTTCATGATGTCACTTGATTCTTTGAACTCCTTCCAAGATGTAAGCCCAAAACCACAAGAGGGTCTATCTTCAGACAGTATGTTTAATGGCTTCTTCATTTACAGCTCTGTTAGGTGTGTGTGTGGGTGTGTGTGTGTCTGTCTGTCTGTCTGTGTCTGTGTCCATGTGCAAGAATATGGGCAGAGTAGAAGCCAGAAGTCAGTATGGGGTGTCTTTCTTACTCTCCACCTTTGTTTTTTGAGACAAGGTCTCTTGCTGAGCCTGGAGCTCACCTATTTGGTTAGACTGCCTGGATCCATCTTCTAGCAGTAGGGTTATAGATATGCAGCACCACTCCTGGCTTTTGTGTGAGTGTTGGGGATCTGAACTCAGGTCCTCCTGCTTGTACTACAGGCACCTCACCAACTGAGCTGGTTCCCCAGCCTTCCATCTTTATTGTGAGTGAAAGGGGAGATTTGGAAATCCCTGAGTGAAGAACAGGAGCTGTCCCTAGTCTTTTGATCCAGTCACTTCCTTGTTGTTCCGCCCCAGAGAAAGCCCTGGACCTAAGGAAGGTTAGTGCTTAGCAGTTAGCACTTAGCACTGGCAGGGTGGTCCTCCTTGGTAACTGGAAGAAGCTGGAGGAGAGAGTGACAGAGATCAGAGTGCAGTTCCTTCACCTGTTCTGATTCATTGGGTTTACGGGGAAAGTGCTTTGGAGTTGACAGCAGGGAAACTGTTTTCTTAAAGCCACTGTCCTCAAGTGCCCCTTTTAGAAGACGCTGCTCCAGAGGGTGTTCAGTTTGAGGCCAAGCCCTAGAGAGCCTTTAGAATCTGATTACAACTTCCCACTCCAAATCCTGACTTTATAATGTTCTGGGACCAGCTGCTATGGATTCTGGGAAGAGGGGGTAGATATCCATGGGATACCATCTCCTTTGCATTTTATATTTTTCTACGTGTCCAGTTTTCTCTGGAGATGGCAGCTGGATATGTGCACTTAGAGTCAAGGGTCCTACCCACATTTCCTGTCTTCAGAATACTGCCTCCTCTTTTAGGCCCCTCACACATCCCTCTCCCACAGGCTAAGGCCTCTGCTGGGGATGTACCAAGTGCTTGGTGGTAGATGCTTCTGATAAGCATCTGTTTGTGGCTTAGGAGCCATCTCACAGCAAAAGCAAAAGCAGGGAAAGACTAAACTGGGCAGGCAAGTCCTGCCAGCCCTCCCCTTCAGAACAAGAGTCCCTCCCAGATCTGAGAGTGTTATCAGGTCTGGCAGGGACTCTTACTCTGGAGGAGTATGGCCTCACTGCTAAGGAGAACACAGCTTGCTTGGCCATGCTGGCATCCTGGAGACTGGCTTTGACCAATTGTCCTCATTAGTCCCAGAACCCCAGGCCTGGACATCGCCAGGACCATGTTCTTACCAGTCACCCAGAGGACTGAAAGTGTGGGTGAGGAAGGGAAGCAAGGCCTGTACCTGCTCACAGGCGCTGCCCTGAGGACTTCCCCTGTGAAGCTGATGGTATGACCCTCAGTTTGGCAAAGCTGAGCAACCTTGGGTCAGGATGTGTCACCACCTTGTTGAAAAATGGAGATAATAGTGTTAAGCTAATGGGAGAAGCCCTCAAGCTGGCATCTTGTACTCTCCCAGACCTACAGCCTAGGCAGATCCCTGAGTGTGCCTGCCTCCTTCTCTGCTCCCCAACCTATGCATGGTCTGAGACCAGCTCTGTTCTGAGACGTCACAGGGGACAGCCACTGTGGTGTTTCACATAGGAACCAGCAAAAGAGGAAGCCTGGGGCAGTGGTGGGAGTTGGTGTGAACTGCCAGTACCATACTGGAGGCATTCCTCCAGTGCCCCAGCTCCAAAAGGGGTCAGTGGTTGCATGGCAGGTAGACAGAGGTCAAAGTAGGCATGTCATTTGTCTCCTTCAAGCATCATTTTACTGGAAAGTTTTTACTGGGGGTGTGTGTTATGGCCATGTGCAAATGAGAATTTCAAGAAAACAAAACCGCGGAGGGGGGGTGTCTATCAGCTGCTTCTACCCTCCTAACAGACCTAGAGAATACATGAATGACCATGGTCAGTACTAGTGTTTGATTTGTGTGTGTGTGTGTGTGTGTGTGTGTGTTTGGAGGGGTACATAAACATGTGTGTATATGTGCATGTTCCTGCATGTGTGTAGAGGCCACAGGGCAATCTCACGTACTTGGGTATCATTCCTCAGGTACCACATCCCTCCTCTTTTGGATCCAGGCAGGGACTCTCATTGGCCTAGAACTCACCAAGTGTGGTAAGCTGGCTATCCAGCCAGCATCAGGGATCTATCTGTTGAGTGCTGGGGTTATAAGTGTACACTACGGTGTCTTTTATCTGGTTTCTGGGAGTCAAATCCAGATCCTCATACTTGTAAGGTTAGTACTACACCCGCTGAACTGTCTCCCCAGCCCTGTTTATTTGTTTTTGAGAAAGGGTCTGGCTCTTTAGCTCAGGCTGGCCTAAGATTCACTAGTTAGTGTGACGGGCTAACCTTGAATCTGCCATCCTCCCACCTCAGCCTCCTGAGATCTGGGATTATAGGTTTGTGCCATCTCACCCAGCTGCCAGCATAAGTTTCCAAGTGAGGAGGTTGAAACTTGGCCCTACCTGCTCTTACTGATGTCAGCTAGGGAGACTGAGGCCCTGGTAGCCCAGGTGCTTGGCCACCCCCTTCCCCTGAGCTGGCCTTGACCCTAAGCTCAGTCATTCTCCAACATTAAGGGCTCTTTCTGATTTCTTACGTAATTCAGATGGAAAAGCTCCCGAAGGCAGCCCCCACGGTGGATCTGTTCGGAGCCGATATTCAGGGACCTGGATTTTTGACCAAGCTTTGAGATATACATCTGGTACGTGATGGCTGAGGGATATGGCCTGATCGGGTCAGCATGGAGGGTGGGCACAGCTGGCCATGGCTGCCAGCTGCATACCCTGAGCAAGCAAACTCTGCTAGTATCTCAGGGCCTGAGGAGCCACCTCCCCCACTCCCCATCCGGCCATTGTGAGCAAATCTTGAGTCTACCCTCAAGGGATGACAGGACATCTGGAAATCTGGTGGTCTGGATTCTGTACTGTTTCAGCAAGACTTCCTATGGGTCACCGACGGCCATGGGAGAAGACTGGTCCCTCAGCCACCTGTGTTTGGTAGCTTCTCTGAAGGACTTCCCAGCCTGCAGCAGCTTTGTGGCCTGTGTCTCCCCAGCACAGGGTCATGTATTGAGTACTTTCTCTGTCTTTGTTGGCTGGGACCCTTCTCCTCCTATGCATTCTGGGAATCTGGCTCTGAAGAAAACACTTGAAATGTTGGTGGTAACCACAGCTGTCACTTACTGAGTGCCTGCTGTATACCAGGCCTTAGCTAAGGGCTCACAGTCACACCCCTTCTCATTCCTGTGGCTGTTGTTTCATGGAGAGGAATCCTGGGGGTTTTCCTGACTAGCTCTCAGGGAGTAAAGATATAGACCTAGCTTGGTTGCGCTTACTGCTCAGTGAGGCCACCACCCTGGTGAGCTTCTCGTTTCTCTGCCCATTTAACACCTTCTACCCACAGGGAATGTGGAACCCCAGAACTGACAGTGATTGGAAGCCAGCATGCTCCAGTGGTGTGCATGCTCCCTCTGTCAGGGGGCGGTTAGATGGTCAGTGGTCTCACACAAGGCAGCATGCATGATCCCTCAGCTCTCCACAAGCAGAAGAGATGGTTTGCCTCAAAGCCACAGGTTATAAACAGTATTGACTCTGTAGACTGATCTCCTCACTCCAACTGGGCCAGGGTCCCACCTCAAGCCTCCAGGTCCTACTCTGGCTGTCACAATGCCATCACCAACTTATCTCAGGGCCTGCTGACCTCTCTGCCCCTCATTAGATGGAGGGTAGGGATCACATCTATCTCACCGCCGAGCCTCAGTGTCTGGCCACTGCAAATGCTCAATAAATCCTTGGTTGGTAGAAAGAAACTGGCAGAAACTGTTAGAGCGGCTGGAGGCTCCAGGAAGCAAGCCAGGACGTTATCACTTGGCGGTTGATGGGTATAGCAGCAAGCCCCCATGGAATACTGAGTCCTTGCTGTGTACCAGCTTCAGGGCTGAATGCAGGGAAGTGTGTGTGCTCTGTTGCTTCATGTTTGTGTGTTTCCCACTGTGGCAGGGTGACACTCTTCAGTGCTGTGTGGCCTTAGGATGGCAGTGGCCTGAAGTAACTCATTGTAACACAGGCACTGGCCACTGTCTCCTAGAACAGGGCTTCTCAACCTTCCTAGTGCTGCAACGACCCCTTGATACAGTTCCTTGTGTTGTGGTGATGCCCAGCCATAAAATTCTTTTTGTTGCTACTTCAGAACTCTAATTTTGCTACTCTTAGGAGTCATGATGTGAATATCTGATAAGCAAGTGGCTGATATGGGGCCCCTGTGAAAGGGCTATTTGACCACTGAGGAGGTTGCAACCCACAGCTTCAGAACCACTCTCTGCCCTAGTACTCTCTCTGTGTCAGTGGCGCGTGTACTGTCTGTGTGCCCTGCTGTCACTGTGAGAGGCAGGAGCCATAGTTGGTACGTGAGGAGTCCAAGCCGCAGACAGGTGAGAGTGAGTTCTAGTAGAAGAGCGGGATGGGATTGGCACACAGGCTCTCCCAGGCTGCCCAACAGACGCCTCTGCTTCTCAGCACAGAAAAAAAGAGTGGCACTTAGTGATCATGACCACTCCCCATGCGTCTGCAGGGATCATGGTCCTCCTGTGTATATTCAGTCTTCCTATTAGCCCCCTGGCCTTCTCCAGAGAAGACACTCAGGCATAGCCCATGAGTAGCAGAGCCTAACTCCTTCTCTGGACCTGCACTAAAGGACTGGTGCTCCCCACCCAGACTGCTGGGTGCTTGACGGTTTATGAAAAGACACATGCCTAGGCCCCCAGGCCCGGCAGCATGAGTATGACCTGTCCTGGAACCAACACCTCTGGCACATGCTTTTTGGTCTTCCTGTTCTAGAAAGTGGAAGCTGGGCCCGGGGAGCCTCATGCCTGCGGGAGAGCTCTGCCCACTGGAGATGGGCAGGCTCTTTACCTGGAGTCTCTGCCACGTTAGTTCCTGTTAGCTGTGTCCATCCTCCCTGCCATGAACTTTGTCTCAGGCTCTACATGATGGGTCATTTTTGGGTCCCCTTGAGAGTCAGCCATATTACTTCTCTGCACCTGGGAAAAGGCTCCAAGCAGTGGAAGTCAGGTGTGTGTGTTGTAGGTGTTCTGTGCCTGAGAGCACCGTGGCTCCTCAGCAGATGTGGACTGCTGTTCTTGGTGAGATTGCCTGTAATGGGAATGGACGCTTGCTAGGGGGAGATAAGAACCAGCTGGAGGGAGATGCACAGACCACAGCCTACTATGCCTGGAGAATTTACCAAGGTCAGACTGCTGCCAGGTACAGAACAGGGACCAGAAGAACCACTGTGGCCTGATTTGAAACCTATGGTCTTCCTCTCTGTTCTATGCTGGAAACAGCTCAGTCTGAAATGAAGGAGTGGCATTCTATGGTATGGTGGCCCATCACAGAGCACTTTGGGCCCCTCTCCTTTTTCCTCTCAATGTGTAAGTGCAGGACTCAGTCAAGGGTGCCACCTTTATCCTACAGATTTGGAAGCTGGGGAACAGAGATGGTTACAGGTGGATGTAGGGCCCAAGCTTCATGAACTCCATCTCAGTGCTATGTCTGCTGGTCCTCGACACCCTTATGTCTGCCAAGGGACCATCCCTGCCCAGTGAGACTTATGGGTCCTTACCGGCCCTTTCCCCTGCTGTTTTCCAGGGTCCTATGAATGTGGGATCTGCGGCAAGAAGTACAAGTACTACAACTGCTTCCAGACCCACGTGCGGGCACACCGAGGTGAGTGGCGCCCTGCTGCCCCATGTTCTACCTGTCGTCCCTAGAGACCCTGAGAGTTCATTCTCCTTCAGCCGTGGGGGCGGGCGTCAGGGAGGAAGGAGAGGCCTTCTCGATTTGGGAAAAATAGTGTGTGTGTGTGTGTGTGTGTGAGAGAGAGAGAGAGAGAGAGAGAGAGAGAGAGAGAGAGAGAGAGGGATCTCAGACTCCTGATTTTGACGGTGAGGCTCTGGGGATGCTCAGAGTATCGCCTCCTCATCCCTCAAAAGGCTGTGTGCTCACATCATCTCATGCTCCTCTTGACAAGTCAAGAGAGGGGCCAGCAGCTGTTTCCCATTCTGAAGTTCAGGGATGAATGAACTGGCACCTGCCCCTGATGAGCCAGGTGACAGGGAAGAGAAGCCCATGTTCAGGCCCAGGTGATCTCGAGCCTCAGGGCAGAAATGAGCCTTTGTCCCTCATAGCATCCATGGGTGGACAGATTCCCCTCAGTTGCTCCATTCAGTCTCCCACTCGGTGCAGCTTTGCCCCTGCCATCATCTTTGACAGTTGGCTACCTCCTTCTTCTCTCTCTTTCTCTCGTAGACACCGAAGCCACCTCAGGGGAGGGAGCCTCCCAGAGCAGTGAGTACTTTTCCTACCTCTTGGGTGGGTGGGGACCAGGCACTGGGCCTGGAAAAGAGCTGTTCTTTTCTCCCTGGGACAGCCTTGAGTAGCCCTTAAGAAACACATTTCTGGAGGCCAGGCCTTAGGACCAGAGGGGCCTTCTGAAATCAGAGCAGGCCTTCTCAAAGTGGGTTCCATGGTGTGCACATTCTGAGGAGAGCTCTCTCAAAAGAAGTTTCCCTGGCCAAGTAACTTTGGGAAACCTTGAGTTGTACCCACGTGGGTATAACTGAAATCTTGCTATGGGTGTCCTGTGCCATCATGAACACTTCAGAAAGGAACCTTCCTTGTATTTTGACCTGGCTCATGGGCCTGGGGTTTTGATTCCTGTGCTGGGAAGCAGTTCTCTTGGAGGACCCTGAGCCTTGGACACAGTTGATCCTAGGTGCTTGGTCCTAGGGTTTCAGATGCTCGGGTCCTGTGGTAGTTGCTCACAGGTCCTGCTTGCTCTCCCTTCAACTCCAGCCCCATGAATGATAAGCAGACAGCCCACGGGGTATACTCTGAAGTGAAGCCTCTGCCCTTTCAACCCCCTGTGCACAACACGAGCTTCGAGAGTTCTACCCTCAGTGACTGTCCCACAGGGACATATTTCTAGGTCCATCAGAAGATGCAAACTAGAATATCCTTAGTGCATTGTCCCTGGCATCTCTAAAGCAGAAGCCACGCAGATGCCCAGCATTAGGAGTGGCTTAGTAAATGTATTCACATAAAGGGCTGCATGCAGGCGTGGGGGTGAGTGCGGTCTAGCTATCCATGGCTATGTGCACAGAGCTCTTAACCCTGATGAGTGAAGCCAGTCACAGAGGGGCTCATCTATCTGCTATGACTGTCAGAAAGCACAGGCATAGGGGCAGGGTGCTGATGAGAGTCAGGAGACTGGGTAACCAGTATGTCACCCTGTCACTTGTGTTTGTTGCACCACTATAAAGTACTTAAAGATAACGAATTAAGAAAAAAAAGAAAAGAAAAAGGTTAGAGTCTAAACTAGTCTGAGCTGAAGAAGGGCCATACCTGAGGCTAAGTTGAGGACACTGTTCTTGAGCCACCCACTCTGGAGAGGTAAGCAAAGTTAATGTGGATCCTCTGTGTTCAGCTTGGCTAGACACCTGCCATAGCCTGTAGCCGGGAGGGACGGCAGCTGTCCCCCACCCCAGCCCAGCCCTGTCTCTGTCTGCTTTAATAGCTCCTTCCTTCTTTTCTGGCCCCTGAGGTCTGCCTGTGGTCAGCCACACATTCAAGACCTTCCCTATTTATCCTTCCTTCCTTGGCTATTCTGGGCCCCTAGTGTCCCTGGAAGCCAGTCAATGGGCTGTTGTTCTGTGTCTTGATTCCACTGTTCAGACTCCCTAGTATTGATGCCGTGGTGGGAGTATTTTTAGACCTTTCGTCATTTTTCCATTCCTCTACTTGGGCCATTTTCCCCATGGCCAGGTGCTGCCTTCTCTGTCCCATGTCCCAACCTAGGCCAGACCAGCCACAGTTCTCTGTGTTAGTGAGCTGATGGGTCGGCCTTGACACAGAGCTGTAGAGCATTGGAGCTTAAAGGATCCTGTGAAGAACATCAACTCCAGTCTGCCACTTTGTACATGAAGATCTTGAGTCCCCGGGTATGGACGTCAGGCAGCTTGTTAGCGGTAGAGGCGGGTCCTAGTCCAACGACCTGTCTTATGTTTAGCTGGGAGGTAATCCAGCCACACACAAACATAGAGACACACCCACCTGCTCACCCATCTTTCAGTATGAGAGAATCAGAGACCAGACCCTACTATAAACTTCCTTAGCTCCTGTCTTCGTCTCTTGGGTCTTCTTTGGGAAGCCCTGCCACATGACACTGACCCTACTCGCTGGGGTGGTAAACATTGTGTTCTTAGTTAGGGTTTCTATATCTGTGATGAAACACCATGAAGAAAAGCAACCTGGGGAGGAGAGGGATGGGATTTATTTGGCTTACACTCCCTCATCACTGTTCGTCACTCACGAAAGTCACAACAGGAACTCGAACAGGGTAGGAACCTGAACTTGGAAGCCGGAGCTTTCTCTAGAGGCCATGGAGAGAAGCTGTTTACTGGCTCGATTCTCATGGCATGGCCCATGCTGCCAGAACCCAGAACCACCAGCCCAGAAATAGTACCATTCAAAATGGGCTGGGCCCTCCACCATCAATCACTAATTAAGAAGATGCCCTACAGCTAGCTCTTTTCCTTTCTTCATTACAAGGAGCTGTTGTTATTCCCATCTCACAGAGGCATCAGGGAGTGTGTCCAAAGTCAGTCATATTTTTGTCAGTGGTAGAGTGGAGTTTGGGCTTAAGCATCTCACTCCAGAGTCTATGTCCTAAAGCAGGTTCGTGGTGGCATTCCTGATATTCAGGGGCTTTCTTGTGAAAACACGCTTTCACTGGCAGACTCCCTTGCTCAACTCCTCCCTGTTCCACTCCTCCAGTGAAGTTTTAGAATATGAGGAGACTATGTAGATGTAGTAGGACAGATGGGGTTGGTTTTCCATGCCAGAAAGTTGGGGGATGCATTTTATTAGAGCTGAGAAATGTGGCCTATGGGGAGAGAGGAGTCCTGCTGACAGGAGAGGCCGTGGGCAGGGACACACACAAGCAGAGTGAACAGCTGCAGAGAGGCAGGCAGTTCTGGGGAGTCTGAGAGAGGAAGGTCAGGACGAAACCTCCTCTGTAGTTAGCCCCCAGGTAGCTTTCCCCGCTGGCATCCACTGAAGATGATGGCAATGTGAGATAAGCTGAAGATTATGGTCCGAATGGGACAGAGTGGAAAGCAAGGTTTTCTCTGCGCTGCCTGGCTTGCCGTGAGAAAAGAGTGATGCTGAAATAGAAGCCTAAGAATGGATCCAGGGTCACTTGATCTGTGTCCCCCACCTCAACAGTGAGATAGGGAAAATAGGGGGCAGGGACCACTATTCCCCTATTCCCATCCCCTATTCCCCACCAACTCTCCTTTGGAAGACCCTGGTACTTACATTCTGTGAATGTCTACAAGTGCCTAGCCCATGGGCTCCTCAGTGACAGTTCATCTCTGCAGCCTTGAGGCCTGCTATGACACCTTCAGGGACAACCAGTTCTGGGAGAAGCCGAGGGCAGAGGTGGGAAGAAAGATGACTAATGTCCTTCATGTCCCCGAGTTCAGCTGGAGGAGGGTCAGAAACCACCCGCCCTTCTGCAGAGAGGTGCAGCCTTGGCGTGGAGTATTCCATTGCCTCCTGTACTGGATGCAGAGGAACAGGAGATGGGTCCAGAACAAAGCACCCCAGCATGGTTTATCCCAGCACAGAAAGGCTGTGTACCCTGACTTCTTAGGCCCTGACTGTGGCTTGAAGTTCAGTGAATATTGGTCCCTAGTTTTGTCTTCCCTCTGTGCAAACTTGAGCAAGCTGCTCTACCTCTGTATGCTGACTAGGGACCCTAGGTAGATGAAATTGATGGGCTCTCCATAGGGCAATCAGGTCTGAGCCCATTCAAATGCAAGAGGATGTGCCCTGGAGGGAGAGGGAGAGGTCTGGTTGCTGCTGGCCTCACTGTGGGAGGCCTAGGGAACAGGCAAACTTGAATCAGTGTTAGCTGTCAAGTCTATAAAACTTAATGACTCAAAGCAATCAACCCTGGTTTTCTCCCCGTTTCTATGGTTGGGAATTTATGTGTGGCTTTTCAGGGTCCTCCAGCTCGAAAACTCCCGCAGGACAATGGGCAGAGCCCTAGTCCCAGGTTCAGCTGGTGGGGCTTTCTTCTAGGTTTGCTTGAGTGAGAAGGTAGACTTTACAGGACTCTGTATTCCTCACACTGTTGCTCCAAGGGCCTCATTTCCCACTAGCCACTCACAGAGGGCCAAACCCAATTCCTTGCTGTCTGCATTTCTCCTTCACTTACCTAGGGACATAGCAGCCAACCAGGGACTGAGCAGGGGGCAGACAGGTGGCATGTGCAAGGCCAACACCCTGACTGTCTGTCACCTAACTTCCAGAGTGACATCCCATCACTTTGACCACATTCCAATTAGAAGTATCCCAAGAGGAGTCACACAGGGTGTGAACACTAGTTGCAAGGGGCACCACCACATCTCTGAAGCCAGTCCACCATACTGTAGGACTTAGGGCAGATCACTTCTTTTTAGTTTCTCATACATTAATGGGAGACAGCTTCTTCCCTCTGTTGAAAAGACTTGTTGAGAGAACCCAAGGGAAGGGCCTGGACCTGCTCCTTGCTCACAGTTACGTCTGGCCTTCACCACGGGGAGCTACAGTCGTGGTTACTCTTCTGTTATGGGAGATGAGACCCATCTAGAACCAGGTCCTGGAGAACTTAAGTCTCATGGGGAGGGTTTGCGGGTCAGTTTGGGAATCTGGGCTCCCAGATGTTGTCACAATCCAAGCCTTGTAGTCCTAGAATGCATTCTAAGGCTGCCTGAGGGAAGAGGTATGAAGAGGGACTTGGTTAAGCATGGAGGAGGAGCTGCTCAGAGAGAGATTCAGGGAGTAAGTAGGAGTGGCCTCCTCGGTTCAGAAGAGGTGGTCAGTGCCTGTTCTCAGACAGCTCAGGATCAAGTTCTCCATGAGACCCTCCAACTGGGGCCAGACTGGGTTGGTCCCATCTTGGTTCCAGAGTCTGGAACTTCATCCCAAGTGACCATTGTCTTTCTGCTCCTTCTCCCAGACAATTTCAGGTACACATGTGACATTTGTGGGAAGAAATATAAATACTACAGCTGCTTCCAGGAGCACCGAGATCTTCATGCTGTGGATGGTGAGTCAGGCCCCTCACTCTTGGGAGTCCCACTGGAGAAATAGCCTTCTTTAGGGACACTGTCCCCACAGTCTCCTTAGGCCAGGATCTGTGCTGCAGGGTTCTGAGGAGGGAATGTCCCTGCATGTCCATGTTAACTTCTGTGGTTGATCCAAATGAAACTGCTGGATTTCTTATAGGTCAAAATGGGTTGAATGTCAAAACTTTGTCTCATGTCATTTTACAGTTTTATATTGAGCGTTTACATGCTATAGTGAAATTAAACCAATGACTTAAAATGAACGATGTCCTTTGAACATCTTAGATTATAGGGGTGGAAGTTAGAAGGTTAAATTCAAGTGACTCGTCTACAGAGTCCTAAGACTCCTGGAAAGAGGGGTTTGGACCCAGAAAGGACTTGAGGTTCCCTATCTAGCCCTACAACTCAGCCACTGAGCAGTGTTATAACACAGGGCTTGCCTCCGCCGCAATCTCCCCTCACCTGCCATTTCCCTCTCATCCCCTTTGAGCCTCTTCTGCTACCCCATGCATGCTGGGGAGTTCTGAGCAGCAAGCGCCTGGCATGGGCTGCCTGCTCCTAGTTAGAAGGAATGGGCCAGGACAGAGATGTGCCCTACTGTGACCCTGCCTTCCTGAGTTTCCTCATGGGCCAGGTCAGGCCTCCTGGTGCCACAGGCAACCCCATGAAGCTATGCATGACTGGAAGAGATAGCTGTGGCCAGGGACTAACAGGGCTCCCATTTCCTTTTTTCCTCCTGCGGCTGTCGCCTCCCGCCTGGGTACAGTGTTCAGTGTGGAAGGGGCTCCCGAGAATCGGGCAGGTAAGTCTTTGTGGCTGTCCATTTTCTCTGTCTCCAGCTGGGTTCCTGTGTCTTGGGTGCCCAGCATGCTAAGGCCATGTGTTCTCCCACAGACCCCTTTGACCAAGGTGTTGTGGCCACGGATGAGGTGAAGGAGGAGCCTCCAGAGCCTTTCCAGAAAATTGGACCAAGTATGCGGGACCCTGGGACCAGGGGCTGGTGGGGCTGGGTGAGGGAGGTGGCCTGAGCCACACTGGTAGAAAATCTGAGGTCCAAACCTTGCAACTATGTGCCCACCTGTAGGTTGGGCTAGGCAGTCTCGGGACATTAGCAGGCAGTGTGGAGACACGGTCAGGGTAGTGAAAGTACCCAGTCCACAGTCTCGCTTCATCCATTTATTTATAATTCCCCACAGTCTTAGCCACTGTACTTCAGCCTCCCATAGCAGCGAGGGAAATGCTCCCTGCAGACTTGGTAGATGTTAATGAGATCACAGACTGCTTGAACTGTAGCACAATGCCTAGAACATACTAGGTGCTCAGAGGATGATAACTGAGGACCTTCCAGGGGCTTCTCAGTGAACAAAGCTCAGTAGGGCAGCCACTTGCAGACACAGACACTTTTCCCTACAACCTCTAAGAACAGGAACCACGCTAGTAACTTGTGTGTCTTCAGCAGACTTGTCTTGGATGTTGTACAGATCTGGATGACAGACATGGCCCTGCGCTTGGGTAATTCACATGGAGATCAGGGGTGTGGGATGGAAGGGAGGTGAGCAGACTATTAGAACCCAAGCACCCACAGCAAGAGCATATATGCAGCAGTGTCTAGCCCAGCTCCTGTCTCTTGTCTAGGGTGTGAGACAAAGGATGTCACTGGGAAGCCATCAGGGACAGGTGTGTTCGAGAACGGCCCAAACCTACATCCCAACTCTACACCAAGCTGCGGGGTGCCCTCCCTATTTCTGCAGTCTGTTGGATCTACTCCACAGTGGAGTGATGACAACCCTCCCTCTCGGGATTGTCTCAGGGATGGGGGTAAAACTCTGCTGTAAGTGAATTAGCATGGTCCTCGTCACATTAACTAAGTGGGACCTGCAGGCTGCCCATCAAGATGAAGGCAGAGTGAACCATGTTCTGTGCCTTATCTGATAGGCAGCCCTTGCTAGGGTCTGAAGAACTCCCCGCTGAGTACACAGGGATTACCATGAGGAAACTTGGTGAGGGTTGGCAGCAAGCACATACCCAGCTCGTCCCAGTGTGACTAAGATTGGTGCTGCAGCCATGTCAGGATCTTTGTAGAATGAGACTGTGTGGGAGTTGAGGATGCTGCTTCTTTAGAAGGCCGGTGCCCTGGATCCTTACAAAGTAAAGTAGGCATAGGACAAGGGCATCCTGATTACCCTAAGGTAAGCTCTGAAGGCCCAGGGAAGAGGAGGATTTCCAGGGCAAAGTCTGCTTTCCACATAGCATAGCATCAGCGGAACAAATGGGAGAGGAAGAGGCAAAGCAGGGGCGAGCAAGAGGGCAGCAGCTAGAAGAATATGGTGGCCACGTGTCAGTCCCTGCCAGCTGCCGGCTGAGGATGACTGCTGTGGCTGTGGGCAGGAGGGACGTGGAGAATAGTTCCCAGCATCTGCTGAGATAGGAAAGCAGGCTTCACACATGGTCTTCATGCTTGGATAAGAGAGAGGCTTGAAAAACAGAAGCAAAGGCTCAAGGACAATGAGAAGTTCACTCGACAAGAAGAAGGTGCAGGAAAGCCAGGGAGGGTGTGTTTCTAAACACTGTCCACAGTCTGGACAGAAACATTTTTGTACAGCCTCCACCACATACAAGAAATTAAAATAGGCTTGATATGGTGACACACACGTGTAAGCCTAGTACTAAGAATGTGAAAGCAGGAGGATTTCAAGTTCAAGGCCAGCCTGGACTGCAAAGCAAGAATCCTGTATCAGGAGGAGGAGATTGCTACCACTCATCTCCCTCTTGGCCTGCCATAAAGTCAACCGACCAACAAACAAACGATAACCGGAAGGCTTAGCAGTAACTACTACAGCTCCAGGAGCTGGAAGCCCCAAGGGGCTGGGCTCTGGTGAGATGTCTCTTCCAGGTTTGTAGATGATCTTAAGTCATCACTTAAGGGTGACAGGAAGAGAGATGGCAGACTGAGAGCTGGTGTCTGTCCCAGCATGTGGTTCCTACCCTCATGATCTCACTGAATCCTAATGACCTCTCAAAGGCCTCAACTCCAGATGGTGTCACGGGGAATCGCAGTGCTTAACATGTAGACAGGAGAGGGACAGTTCACCCTTTGGATGGTCCTGTGGTAAAGGGGCCTGGGATCGTATGATGAAAAGACAGCGGGATAAAAAAGGCACAGAACAGAGTTAAGATGAAAAAGGATTTGGGGGAAACGCATTGCAAGAGCAGAATGAGAAGCTTCATGACAATAATGACAGAACTGGTCTGCACAAAACTGATTAGCAACACGAAGGACAGCCGTAACAGAAGACCATTTAAAAAAAAAAAGTGTGAAAACGGGGAACCAGCTCCAGGTGACTGATGGTGTGACCAATATGACAAAGAACCTAAAGATCTAATAGAAAAAAAAAAAAAAAAAAACCAAATAATGGTTTTAGCTTCTGTATGTGTGAGTCTGAAAGGCTTGTCATAGTGTCAGGTAGAGTCTACATAAGGAGACCCTAACATCAGTAGGTCTTAGTGGCTTTAAAAGTGTAAATAGAGGAAAATTGAGATATCTACATGTAAAAAAAGCAAGCAGTGTGACTTGAGACTTCTCTGCAACATTGTATATCCAAAGAAAATGGGTGTGTTTGGAAGGAAAGAGACTGTAAGAATTTTATACCTGGTAAAAAATGGAATTGGCATTCAAATAAAAATGAGGGGATTTGGAGAAACATTTTTGGAAGTATTTACTCAGGGAACTGGTTGGTGGAGCACATGTAGGCATTTGGGAAGCTGTAGTGTAAGGACTGTGAACTCTGAACAAGTAAGTTTTAACCTGATCTAATTATGGCAGTTGAGTGTATGTGCTAACAATTAACCTAAATATAGAGGTGAATTACCAAAAAGGACCAGGATTAGCTCAGTTGGTAGGTAAGGTACTTGCATAGCATGCATAAACCTGTCCTGGATTTGATCTCCAGAACCCCATAAATCAGGCATGGTGGTGCATCTTCAGCTACGTAGTGAGTCCAAGACTAGCCTCATGCCACAGGCAAGTTCAGCAACATAGTGAGTTCAGGGCCAGCCTGAGCTGTGTAAGACCCTACCCCCCATACACATTCCACCCCTCACCCCCCAACCCCACCCCACCCGGCAACAAAGAATAAAAATAGAAAAAGAAAGACATGGGTTGGTGACTTATACACTAGAAAGTGTTACAGTTCTGTGCACAGGGAAGGACTGACTAATCCCATCCTGCTTAGCGTGTGGTTCTGTACCAGCAGGATCAGCTGCTCCTTGAAGTTTATGTACAATATGAATTCTTTGACTCTAGCCCATACCTGTGGCATCAGACTCTCTAGACTAGAAACCAGTTAATCTATGTTGTGAGGCTTTGTGGGGATTTTTATATGTGCTAAAGTCTCAGAAAAGGTCTGGAGAAAGGACTAGTTGTTAAATGCTGCTCCCCAAGAGGACCCAAGGTCAATGTCCAGCACCCACATCCAGCAGTTCATAGCATACATCTATAACCCCAGCTCCAGGGGATCTGATGCCCTCTTCTGGCCTCCACAGGCACTCAAACACATGTGGCATACAGACAGAGACATGTAAACACAAATAAATACTTTTTCATTTTAATAAGCACCTATAAATGCCCTTTCTCAGCAGTAAAAGACATTAAAATGCCATTTCTACCCCATTAACAATTAAAGATATACCTTATATGCTTTCTAAAATAATAAAGAATAGTTAAAAATAATGGAACACAGATGAAATGGATAAGCAAAGAACTCCTATCCCAAAGAATCAAAGCCCAGAAGGACAAGCCAGGGGGTGTGAAGCCCCCCCCCAAAAAAAAAGAAAGAAAGAAAAAAAAAAGAAAAAGAAGAGAAAAGAAGGCTAGCTGTCCAGTAACTAAAATGCTTAAGAACAATAATGTTTTAGATTCTTAGATTTTTGCATAGCATAATGTAATATCCTAGGATAGGACCTGAGTCTAAATACAGAATTACTTACCTTTCATATATGTGTATAGATAATCTCTAAGTGATTTCATTAAACATTTGTAATGACATTATGTGTGACACAAAGATTCAGAGCATGGAGTTTCCTACTTGTGGCACCTTATTGGAGCATTTCAGGGTCAGGGATTAGGGATGTTCACCATGTAAAACCGAATCGATCATCACAATAAAAGCAAGTTGTATAATCTCTCCAGTGAGAAAACAGGAGCTGTCAAGTCCATTTGAAATAATCCCAATCACTAATGGTTTATGAGCATCGTACCTAGTTCATTCCTTATCTTTTCATTTTGCTCAGTGTGTCTTTCTCGGGTTCTTTTCCCTACTCCCCTAAAGAGATTAAAGGCCCCATCATGGCTTTTTGAGACACTGTCTGTTTCCTTGCGTGCACACACCGTGGGTACAATTTGAAAGTCGTGCGAAGGTTTGATTGTGTTTCCCTTTCCACGCAGCTCCTTGAAGACAGGGACATGACAGTTTCTGCTCAGCCTCCGCTACTACAGTGCCTTCCCTGCCTAATGAATTAAAGTATAGAAACATGTAAGAACATGTCATTAGACACATGCAGACAAGTAGAAAGCACGACCTGACAGATCACTAGGAACTTAGTAATATTAATAGCAGACGAACTAATAAAATGGTTTAATTAAATGTTGGAGCGATGCTTCTTAAACTTTCCCATGCATTAGAATGTTCTTGTTAAAAATATAAATTTATGGACCACACCCACAGAAATTTTCTCTCAGCAGATCTTGGGCAGGTCCGGGTTTCTGTCAGGCTGCTGTGGTCCAGGAACCACTTAGGAATAGTGTGTTAGGACTGGGTCTCATCATGTCACATAGCCCAGGATGACTTAGAGCTCCATGTGTAGCTGAGGATCACTTTGCACCTCTGGTCCTCTTTCCTCTGCCTTCGTGTTGCTGGGATTACAAGTGTTACTGCCACTTTGAGTTTATGCAGAACTGGGGAGGGAACCTAGGACATCTTGCATGCTAGGTCAGTTTGACTGACCGATCCATTCCTAGCCCTCCAGTAGAAATTTCAGCCATAAGCTGCCATACACGGAGCAATAATGTACTTAAATGACAGAGCAAATCCAGGAAAGCAGTAGAATGAGATGGTTTATCACAGCCTTTAGTCTTTGCTGGAGCAAGCAGACAAGGTTGTACAATATTGGAGTAATATAATTAATACGGTTGATCTAACAACCTTGACAGAAACTAAAATGTATACCTTTTCAGCATTTGTGAGTCAGCGCCAAAGAGTGTTTAACTACCCCAAATCCCAAAGCTTCCATCTTAGGAAGGAAAAAGCAAGGGAGACTAAGAAGCCAGCGGAGACAAAGCTCCCTGTAATACATGTGACAAAATGTTGATATCACAAACCCACAAATAATGTAGTGATTTTTAAAGGAAACTCACAAAAGAAAAACTATAGTTAATTACCCAAGAAAAACAGTCAATTTCCTTAGAAATCAAGGAAATGGGAAATAAAACCTGTTAGCATAATTGGACCCTCGATCCCAGGTCAGATATGCAAACTAGAGAGGCGGTAGGGATGCTGTGTGTGGGTGGGTGATGGCAGTGTGGTTACTAGAAGCCTCCAGAAGGCATGCCTCTCCCCACCTCTTTAACCCCAGGAAGTAACAAGCAGGCTACTGAGCAGTGAGCTGTATTTTGTAATCTTGTGCCAAAATAATGAGCAAATATGCAAAAGCCCCTGCAAGGATGTGGATTGCAGCAAATTTTTAACAAGGCGCTGGTTGGGGGGGCGGTGACTTGAAACAATCTGAATGTCCCTTGGTGGAGGGCAACTGGCTCAGCAAATTCCCAAGTCCCGTGGGAGCCATGCAGCCGATAAAGGCAGTCCCGGAGATCAATACTTATTGATTGGGCAAGATGTCCACAAAGTATTGTCGATTGAATACACCAGGTTACAAAGAGGATATTGATCAGGGCTGGCTAATTCAAGGCCATAGGAGCCAGACAAATGGTAGCAGCAGAGAAACACCCTAAAGGAGTGCAAAGGGGCCGTGGGGGCAGGGTGGGCAGTTGGTGATGCCCCAGGGGGGAAGATGTCCCCCTTTGGTGTAGGGATTGCAGAAGGTAGCATCTGCTCCTTTCAAACTTAAAGCTTGTGTTTATCAGTGTTCATCAATGTCCCCAAATGAGCCATTTTACATCAGACATCTTTAAAGGAGAATTTAAGCAGAAACTAGAGAAATATAAAGATAAAAGTCTAGTGATAGACCAGTGAGATGGCTCGAGGAGTAAAGTGCTTACCTTATATGCCTAATACCTGAATTTGATCTACAAAACCCATGTTGTTCTCTGACCTTTACATGTACTCTATCTCTCTCTCTCTCTCTCACACACACACACACACACACACACACAATGGGGTTTCCAGAGAGAGCCTGGGAGATGGTGAGCTTTTGGACAGGTGCTAGACATGGCTCACAAGGAGCCAAGCACTCCCCCTCTCCTACATGAGTTCCAACCCTCCTCACCTAGACTTTGGCCTTTCCAGAGCAAGTATGTACTACCCCTTTCCAAGGACTCAGTGAGTGTGTGTGTGTGTGTGTGTGTGTGTGTGTGTGTGTGAGAGAGAGAGAGAGAGAGAGAGAGAGAGAGAGAGAGAGAGTGATCAGCCACATGCAATAATAAATAAGTAAATAAGTATTTAGGCGTAGTGAGGACTAAGTGTGATCCCAGCTCCAATGGGTAGAAATACTTGAGGACAAAGTGCTGGAGATAAGGGACCATGGTTATGACCCCTGCAGTGGGCAGGGCTTGCAGAAAGGTTGATGGGAAGGTTGACTTTGAGGGTCAGCTGGAGTCCCCTGAGCACTAAGTCTGTCAGGCATTGTTATAATCATTTCATATTCAGAGTTAATCCCACAGCAATCCAAGAAGATGGCCCTTTGCTACTTCCCTTTTACAGGTAGAAAAATGGAGGCATGGAGTAGTTAGGGGCTGGAGAGTTCGCTCAGTTTGTAAAGTGTTTGCATGCAGGGATGAAGACCTGAGTTCAGATCCCCAGGACCGATGTAAAAAGCCAGGTGCAGCAGCGTGTGCCTATAATCCCAGACTGAGAGGGCAGAAAAGGGTGGGTTCCTGGAGCACACTGACCAACCAGTTCCCCCAAATCAGTGATCTCCAGGTTCAGTAAGAGGCCTTGTCTTAAAAAAAAAATAAATAAATAAACAGCTGTGGAAAAAAAAAAAAAAAAAAACCCAAAGCTGACCTTGGGCCTTGACATGTATGCTAAGTCATGCACCCATGTATACATGCAGCTGCCCCCCCCCACATCCCCACCACACACAGAGAGGCCACACAGGAATTTGGACCAGACAGTTAAAGTCCATAGTCCAAGTTGAGTCTGGTGGCCCAGAATGAGTTTGAGGACTAAAGATGCTGATGTTTTGTTTGGGGCAAGGGGGTTGGCATCACCTGTTCTCATTCCTTCTTCTCCTTCCACAGAAACTGGCAATTACACCTGTGAGTTCTGTGGGAAGCAGTACAAGTACTACACGCCCTACCAGGAGCACGTGGCCTTACACGCCCCCATCAGTGAGTCCCTTCTCGGGTTGGGGGATGGGGAGGCTTGGGGAGGGGCAGCCTCCCCAAGGGAGGATGGGGAGGTTCAGCCACTGGCCAGAACTCTGGAGCTTTGCCAGGGAATGGGCCAGCATGGTGAGCTTGGGTCCAGGCTGTCAGGGGTCTAGCCTGAGCCATGAGGTAGACTATGAGGTAGAATAGCCTAGAAGGCCTTCTCAGAATTAGAAACCAATCAGGTAGAGCTCTCTCACAGTAGCTCAGAGGACTGACATTCATATTGACCATCAGGAAAGTGGATACTGTTTGTCCATTAACTGTAGTGGGCTCTGTCCCACCTTCTCCAAACACCTGCGCATGAGGACTTCCTGACTCTGCACCTACCCCAATAGTGTTTGCCCTGGGATGTAGCTTTCCTCCTCATTGACCAAGGCCCATCCTATCTGATGGGAGGGTGACTGGGCAAGACAGCCCTTATGCTATGGTGGTAGAAGGCTAAGGAAGCAAATGGTGTGCTTATGTGTGAGGGAGAAGACCTGAAAATCAGCCCCAGGCATCATGGGCTTACTGGTGACCATGACCCATAATCCCTTACTCTCCTGACAAGGATAGGAAGGGACTCCATCTGGCACCTCTGGCCCTGCACTTTCTGGATGCCTGTCAGCCTACCTGGCAACTTCCAGGTGTCTTTCTACAGATGGGAGTCAAGGAAAAGTCCATCCCTAAGTGTATGAGCCAGAGGGCCTCAGGCCTTCACCCTTTCCTATACAAGTGGACATGTATGTACATTGTGATGAGGCAGGACCTACATGGCCTCTGGGAGAGTCAGATAGTCAGATGGGGTGTTTAGGAGCATCTGCTAATTTCCCTGTGTGGACATCTCACTGTAGAACTATATGGATCAGCCCCCTTTCTGAGACTGGGAAGAGTTGGGGTAGAGTAAGAGGTGTAGCCTACGGAGGTCATGGCATCAAAGCCACTTGTCTGGGGTGGTTCCAGACCTTCAGTAGCAGCATAGACAGTGGCTCCCCGAAGGTCATCGAGTAGGAGGAGAGGTGTCTAGTGTTTGAACAGGGGTATCAGCAGCTCCCCAAGGAATCCCTCAGTGCTGACAGAATGGTAAGACTGGGCACACTCCTCTTTGGACGCAGTTCTGTCCTGTGTTAGCACTGGGCTGTTGTGCATCAGACTCAATGCCCGGTTGTTGTGTGACCCTTTGCCTAGTGAGTCCCTCTGGGCCCAAGTTTCCTATCTGTGAGAGTTCTTGAGGTCTTTTTATCCCAGAGTCTGGACTGACATCTGCAGCAGGTATATGACTTTCAGGTATGTATCTACTGTGGGCCTATCATACTGTGTAGCCAGACCATGGAAAGGGTATCAGAGGCTCTACTGGGTGGGTACCACCCTGTTCACTTGATCTCCACTCCTGGTGCTGGTGTCCAGGCATTGGGCTGTTTGTGGGTAGCTGCTGCCGAGTGCCAAAGAGGATGTTACCAAGAATGCACTGAGAAAGGCGTTACTCACTAGGCCAGAGGCAACTGGGTTCAGTATCTGTGCTACCCCCTTCCCTTCCCAGAGCATGCTGATAAAGTCATGGTGTTAGTAAGATGGGGAGTGGGTCCCGAACCCCACCAGGAAGTTGTAAGCCTTCTTCACCCTGAAGCTATCCAGCCTCCCTTGGCACATGACAGAAAGGGGAGCCCCACTTGCACCCTAACTTCTCTGACACCCTGGTGCTTACCTCCCAAAGGGCTCCCTACGTCTCTTCCTGATTTTCTTTTTCTTTTTTTATTCCTGATTTTCATTTGGTTTTTCTCACTGTTTTAGGCTCAGTTTTTCTGCATCTGTTTGTTAACTATGTTTCTCTGGTATTCGATGATGTCTTCTGAGGATTTTAGAAGCACCTGTTTAAAATACAACATGGGATTTCGTCTGGTTTCAGCAAAGGATGGTTTCTGCAAGGCAGGGCAGGAGACAGTGTCTTGATGGCCTCGGGAATAGATCTATGTGTAAGGCTGGCTTTGGGAGAGGTAGGAATTCGGTTCAATGATAGGTGATTGGCCATGGCTGGGCATGTATCCCTGGTTCTGATGAGAATCCAGAAGGCTGACTGGGGAAGTTCTCCTGAGTTCCGTGTGTGCACTTATGTCTGCTTTTGATTTCACTCACAAAACATTTTTAAGACTCACGTGTGTCATAATATCAGCTCCCTCTTTACTGCTGATGGATCCCCCACTGTGCAAAATCTGAGTCTGTTTGATCACTTGCCTGTTCACTTGGGTCAATTCCAACTTTAGGATGACATGAATAGAACTACTGTGAAAGGCTTGTGTGGTGCATTCTATGGGTTTGTGGGTCATTCCCCGAGGAAAAATACCAAGCAAGGGGTGGAGCTACTGGGGAGTAGGTTTATTCCTTCTTTGTTAGAACTGACAAGCCATTTCCAAAAGGCCCATAGCGCCTCAGCCTCCCCAGGAACTCTGCTGGCCCAATGTTCTGGGGTTTTGGGTGCTTCTGGTTGGTCTGCTTCTGGTTGTTCTAGTGTGTGGACAGTGAATTTGACTTCAATTTTTTGGTGGTGTTCACCCTGTTTGCATTGACTTACTGACCATTTCCTTATTTTAGTCTGGTAAATACTCATGTGGATGATGTTCTCTCTCTCTCTCTCTCTCTCTCTCTCTCTCTCTCTCTCTCTCTCTCTCTCTCTCTCTCTCTCTCTCCCTCTCTCCCTCTCCGTTCCCCCCTCCCTCCCTCCCTCCCAGTTGTTTGTCCTTTTTTCATTGGCTGTAGGAATTCTTTTTGATTTTGATTTGGTCCATATCTTTCATGGATATTTTATCCCAGCCTTTGGCAGACCTGGTAGTTTCCACGCATCACCCACTGATAAGCAGGTGATTTTCATTTATAAAGCATAATTTATCATTGTGTTCTGTTGTAGGTGCTTTCTGGATCTTTCCTTGGGGGTCATCCTTGCCTGCCTCATGGTTGTGAGGTTCTTTTCAAAGTGTTTTAGATCACTTTAACTTCCACACTTAGGTCTGCAGTTGAGTTGTGGCTGAGGTGAGATGAGGTTTGTCCTATTCTGGTTGCCTAACAGCCTTTGTTGAAGTTATGTTTTCTTGTTCAGTGGCTTGGTACCCTTGCTGGAACCCGTTGAACATCTAGGAGTTAATGTCTTTCTTTTCTGTTGACTCATTTTTCTACCTTTATACATACACCAGTGTTCTTATTTATTACACCTCTTTGGGAAGTCTTAAAACAGCTCTGCTTAGATTTTCCACTTTATCCTTCCATTTTAAAGAATATATGGCTCATCTAGGAACTTTATTTTTTCACATAAATGTTAGAGGCTTGCCAATTTCTACCAAAATAATAATAATGAGAAGTGGGAAGTGGAGCAGAAAGAAAAAGTTTGGGAGGATTACACTGAATCTGTAGACCAATCTGAAGGGCACAGGCATTGCTGTGATGTTGGGTCTTCAGGGCCTGTCCATTGCTATGGTGTTGTACCCCACAACCAGTCCCAGGCCACGGTGGATCCCTCTGTGGATCTGGGGCTTCTTTAGTTCTCTCGACACGTGTGTGCTCTTCAGTCTTGACACCTGTTTCATTAGGTATCTGTCTGATGCTGCTGTAGTCCTTGAACTTGAATTTCCCACTTGTTCCTGCTGTTTCATAGGAACGCTAGAATTTTGCATTCTGGATTTGTATCCTGCAAGTTTACTGAATTTGCTTGTCAGTCCTCATAGGTTCCTTCTTTTGTAGATTTCTTGCTGGTGATGAAGTGATCTGCTAATAATAAAAACCAACTCCAATCCTGGGCCGTATTCTTTTTTATATCTGAGGGGGTTGTGCTCTCCACAGTCCTATTTTAGGGTGTGTTGCACGATGTTGAATGGAAGAAATGAGCGGGTGCACCTGCCTGCTTCCCATCGTAGGGTTTGGTTGCTTACTGCTAAGTGTCATCATTTTCATCATCACTATTGTGTCAGCTGCAGCAGGTTCTCGGAGCTGCCCTCGCCAGCTCAGGCTGCCTTTCACTTAGTTTCCTGGAAGTTGGGCTTCCAGTAAATTAGGGCTGTGTGGCATTTCCTTCTGTTGAGATGATTGTGTGGATCCTTAACTTGTTTATTTGTTTGGGGGTCTTTTGTTATTGTTGTTGTTTTGTTTTTTTGCTAGTGTAGTAGAAGCCATGTTTTTTTAGTATGTCAGTATGCCTATGTTTTGTTAAAATAAGTTGAGAATATCAGAAAAGCAGAGTACGACATAAACTGAAGATGTCTCTTCTTTGTCAAAATTTTTGTTTTAAAACTGTATATTTAATATATACAACTCTGACTATATACATAGTCACATATATACATAGGAGCACACACTGAAAAGGCCATCACAGTGAGGTTAGTGCATATTTAATGTATGCAATTCTGATTATTCACACGCATACATACAGAGAAGCACACACTGAAGATGCTATCACGGTGAGGTTAGTATATATTTAATGTATGTAGTTCTGATTGTATACACACATACATACAGAGAAACACACTCTGAAGATGGTATCATGGTGAGGTTAGTATATATTTAATGTATACAGTTCTGATTGTATACACACATACATACAGAGAAGCACACTCTGAAGATGCCATCTCAGCAAGAGAGGGTTTTGCAGAGGAATTCTAAATTACAGGAGAGTCAATGTAGTTTGATAAGTTACTTTGCTTTCAAGGGTGTGTTTTCTACTCACTTCTGTGTAAAATTTCTCAGGATATTACCTGACATTTAAACCAACTCTCCCAAGGGCAGGGAATTATAATCCTTGATTAGGAATGTGACCCATGACCAACCAGCAGGGTGACCAAGGGTTCTTAATCAAGAAAGTAAATATTGGCCAGGCAATGATGACTCACACCTTTAATCCCAGCACATGGGAAGCAGAAGCAGGCAGATCTCTGAGTTCTGGTCTACAGAGTGTGTTCCAGGACAGCTAGGGCTACACAGAGAAGCCCTTTATTTAG